CTCCTTCGCGGTCTCGTGGAGGCTTCCCGCCGTTGTCGTCAGTTCTCCTATCACTCTTAGGGTTGATTGAATTACTGTTTAGTTAGTCCGTACGATCTTGTACGGTCAGAGTAACGAAGTCAATTATTGAGAATTCATGTATACAATGTCAAGTAATTAATCAGAAACATTAATTAGTAATTAATCAGAAACATTAATTAGTAATAATCAGAAACATTAATTAGTAATAATCAGAAACATTAATTAGTAATAATCAGAAACATTAGTTAGTACTAATCGAAAACATGAATTAGTAACAAACAAATTAATATTAATGAAAGTTCTATCCGTCGCGAGAGCGGCGGCGTGCTACTTTTTTTTTTTTTTTTTTTTTTGGCCTTTTGGCTAAGATCAGGGATGCTACATCGTCGAGTGTACGTAACCCTTCCCCCCCCCCAAAAAAAAAATGTATATAAATATTATAACCCTAATTTCCTTCGCCCGCGTGACTCCGAGAAGTGAGGAGGAATATTGACTGTCGTTGGTTAGTGTTCTCCAGGAATGGGTTGGTTCACCCTACCCCTTATTAACCCCCTGGTTCACCCTACCCCTTATTACCCCCCTGCGCCCCCCCTTCTTCGTATGATTGTGCTGTTGAGGGGTCTTTCGTTGATGGCACATGCGCAGTTCAGTCATTACCCTTTTCTCTCTGTGGTAGTTGTTGTATTTTTAGGTTTAGTATTATTGTTTTTATTTTTTATTTTTGTTTTAGCTAATACATTATCTTAATACATAGATGAAAAAAAAAAACGAGCTGAGTCTGTTTTTATTATTTAAAAAATAAATAAATCGGATGACTAGAGAGAGAGCTAGGTGTCGGCGGAGCTAATCTCTACATGCCTACCTGTTCTACCTGCGCAACTGCCGCTCTTCACCCTGATAGACCGCCCAGTCATTTTATTAGTTGTATTTAGGGCAACTTTTCGTCTACATACATAGCGATAACGACCACGTGCTCGATTCAGGTGAAGCCGGTAGTCCCCCTGGCCGTGACGATGACCCAACTTCTTCCCGCCTCCGGCGAATGTCAGGGTTCTGAATTTCGAGGCCGAGAGCAGGTATACCTGTGTTTTTTTTTTTCATAAAAGACTTTGCTCGTTATATTGCAATCAAAAAGGGGATACCTGTCTTTTTTTTTTTTTTTTTTTGTAAAAGACTCTTCTCGTTATATTGCAATCAAAAAGGGGTTACCTGCCTCTTTTTTTCTTTTTTTCACAAAAGACTCTGCTCGGTATATTGCAATCAAAAAGGGGGAGGCCGGGGGCTAGGTCCCACTTGCACGAACGAATTGACCGTAGATAGCAAAGATCAACGACCGAAATTATCTCCTAAAAATTTGAGCAAGTGGGACCTTGCCCCGGGAATCCCTCCTCAAACAACCCTGGAAAATCTGCTGGCTTGTGTGCAGGCTTTACAAAAAAAAAAAAACTCTGTTCATTTTTTTAAACCCAGCTGAGTTTCAGGCGTTGGGAAAAGTCCTGGAACAATAAAAAAGAAAAAAAAGAAAAGTCCTGGAACAGAAATGGCCAACACAAAGTCCGCTGTCCGGACATTGTGTCAACCCTATATCCCTGTCATTTCGAGGGGTCGTGTTTTGTTTTGTTTTTTCTTTCAATTTTTTAAATTTAGAGAGAGGCCCTTAATGCGGGGCTTGTGGTGAGACGAGGAGGAGGCATGATTTCCTCCCATCCTTTCGTCAATCTGTGCCTCGTTGCACTACTCGCCATCGGCCGAGATGATGATTGCATCTGGACAGCAAGATGTCCAGATTGCATTCAAAATGTTGGCGGATGCAATTAGTGCAAGTAGGCCCTCTTGTACCTGTCTCTTATACACATCTAGATGTGTATAAGAGAAGAGAGGGAGGTCCGTTGGGAGCTCGGAAGGGAAGAGATGGGGGCGGAGGGGCGGCCAATTGATACCAAGCCGATGGGGGGGGGGAGCGGGCGCCAAGGAGGAGGAGGGAAGGCTTGGGGAGGAGGGGGGAGAGGGGGGGGGTTGTTCGAAAGGGAAGAGAGGGAGGTCCGTTGGGAGCTCGGAAGGGAAGAGATGGGGGCGGAGCGGCGGCCAATTGATACCAAGCGGAGGGGGGGGGGAGCGGGCGCCAAGGAGGAGGTAAAATGAGGATAATGGGGAGATGGAGAGACGTCAGAGGCGAGGAGGGAAGGCCTGGGGAGGAGAGAGGGAGGGAGGAGAGGGTTGTTCGAAAGGGAAGAGAGATGGAGGTTCATTAGGAGTTTGGGAGGGAAGAGACGAGGGCAGAGCGGCGGGCAATTGAGACCAAGGCGTTGGGAACCGCAGCATGTTGAGATAGAGAGTGGGAAAGGCTCGAGAGCTTGGTCCATGGTGAATTTTCATGGATTCTGCCGAAACGTAAGGGAAAGACAAAGGTATGGAAAACAGAGAGAGAGAGAGAGAGAGAGAGAGAGAGAGAGAGAGAGAGAGAGAGAGAGAGAGAGAGAGAGAGAGAGAGAGAGACGGCTACCGTCTTTCCCCGAACACAACGCACCCTCATTTTGGCTGTATATGGACGGAAATAGAGCTTGTATACATTTCATTTTGAGGGTGCGTTATGTTCGGGGGAAGACGGTAGGTTATGCATGGTGAGCAGGGTGGGTAAACGTTTTCGCTGAACGTGTATTCGCGGTTGAAGACTGGTTTGTCATAGTTGCTCTATTCAGACTGAAGGACACCCCGAATACATCTATAATGACCTTTCGGTGTATTCGGTTGAAGACTGCTTTGTCATACTAGTAGAGCATGGTGGCATGGTGGTTGCACGAGCTTGGACATACTTAATAAGTAAAAAACCACGGGGGTGTCATACTAATATGATTTATATATGACCCTCTAGTCATTTGCTTCCATGAACACACACTAGTCATTTGGTAGGCCCCTCGTCATTTGGTAGGCCCCTCGTCATTTGGATGACCCTCTACATATGACCCTCTAGTCATTTGCTTCCATGAACACACACTAATACTATGGAATTCATGTATCCACAACTTTGACAGCAAATTGGCATCTTGAGAATTCATGAGCTGTTGTAATTCCTAAAAACACGGTAATAACAAATTGGCTTCTTGCTGGGGGGGAGCATCAGTCCGCTGTGGAAAGTTTCGCTTCTTTTTTTTTCCCGGGGGGTGGGGTGGGGGGGAGCATCAGTCCGCTGTGGAAAGTTTCGCCTTTCTTTTGATGAAGTAAAACAAACAAAACCCAGAAAACTGAAAAGCCACTAGAATTTCTTCATTATTAGAAAGTAAAAAATTGTTCTGAACGTAGCACACTGGATAGTAAAAAATTGCAAATAGAAACGAATTCACGCATTCCGACTTTTCTTTGTTCTTTCTCCAGACTCTTCTTTGTTCTTTCTCCAGACTCTAAAAGTCTGCTTTGCTCGCGTGAAACATAAATCTGGGGTTTAAGATGGAAACGTGCGAAGCGATGGCTTCGAAAAACAATTGGAGTGTTGTTTTTCTATTTTGCCTTTTCTTTTAATCACTTGGGATATACTCGTCTCTCTTAATGTCGGACTTTGCGCAATTCTTTACGAGGCCTAGTAGAAGAGGAAGAAGAGGGGGGGGGGAATTCTCTTTGGAAGACGGCTAGTAAGGGGTTTTCCCCACAGCACTGTGGAAACTTAAAAAAAAGCACGAGTGCATCTTCCTCGAAAAGTGGCGAGATGCATCCGTTGTTATTCATCATAGGAAGGGATGCATCTTGACGCTTTCTGCGGGAGCATGCACTTGAACGTCTTGCGTTTCGACAGTGGTTCTGCGAGACCCTTATTGCTGCTTCGATATTACGCCTCCGATGTTAGACGTTTAACCTTTTTTTTTTTTTTTTTTTGATGAGAATAGACGTTTAACCTTTTGAGCTGTGCATTCTTTCTGTATATTTAAAAAAAAAAACAGTGAGTTGATGTTTTCTTGTCGTAAACGTAAGAAAGAACGACGTTGTGCTTTTCAATGAACCCTATTTCCGGCGTTTCTTGTCGTTCTTGGAAGATAGAGATGTTACTACGATGGACGGTGTATATAGTCAGTCGCGTTCCCGGCGGGGGTGGGGCTGTCGTAGTGGCAAGAGAACTAGGAGGTTATGCTGTTGCCCCTTCTCGATGGGCATCGCTCCATTGCTCTCCACATGCACGAACGACAAAAATCATCGTGTATCTTTCCATGTTCTAGCCGAAGATTCTCTCATTTTGCACGTTTGGATAGTAGTGCAGCGAGGCCGTATGTTCGCTTCTGGAAAGGTGTTCAGTGTTTACTCGGCGTGCGTCCGCCTGGGCAGGTTTACGGCGATTGGAACAGTTTGACGGTCACTGGAACAGTTTTATGGCCGCTGTGGAACATATTTGCGGCAAGTGGAACAGTTTTACGCCCGTTATGGAAGAGATTTACGTCCAGTGGAACAGATTTACGGCGGCAGCCCATGCAGTTTTAACCCGCCATGGAACAGATTTACGGCCACCGGGAACAGATTTACCGCCACTGGAATAGGTTTCACGGCGGCCACTGGAACAGTTTTCATGGCCACTGGAACAGTTTTCATGGCCGCTGGAACAGATTTACGTCCGTTATGGAAGAGATGTACGTCCAGTGGAACAGATTTACGGCCGCTGGAACACGTTTACGGTCACCGGAACAGATTCACGGCAGCCATTGGAGCAGTTTTACGGCGCCATGGAGCAGATTTACGGCCACTGGAATAACACTGGAACAACACTGGAACAGATTTACGCCCGTTTTGGAAGAGATTTACGTCCAGTGGAACAGATTTACGGCCGCTGGAACAGTTTCACGGGTACTGGGACAGTTTCACGGCCAGTTTGGAACAGTATTACGGCCACTATGGAACAGTTTTACGGCCACTGGAATAACACTCGAACGGATTTACGCCCGTTTACGGCCACTGGAACAGTT